CCCCCACCCCTTCCCATTCCGCCCCTCAAAAGGCGTGCCCACCCCTGCACGTGCTGCTGTTCTCCCCTTGCGAGACAGCCCGGCAGGTGCTTCTCCTCTAATAAAGCCTGTAGTCCTGGTTTTAGGTCTCCGTCTGATCTTTCAAAAACAATAACTTTTTTTAAGGTGGGATAATGGTAATTGTGGTCTGTTCATTTCTACCACAAATTGTCTGCTAAATTTTCAGAAGATATCTCCATCATTAGCAATTCCCTTGAATCCCTTCAAAGGCAGGTAGACTCCTTAGCAGCAGTAGCCCTACAGAACCCGCGTGCTTTAGATCTCTTGACACCAGAAAAAGGAGGTACCTATGTCTTTCTTGGGGAAGAATGCTGCTACTTTGTAAATGAATCAGGAATTGTCAAAGATCACATTAAATCCCTCCGGGACAGGATTGACCAAAGACGACATAACCAGCTAGAAGGGGGTTATGCCATCTTTGGCTCACTTACTCCATGGCTCCTCCCACTATTAGGCCCTCTGGTATTTATTCTTTTAATTTTGCTCTTTGGCCCCTGTCTCATGTGCTGTTTTACTAGTTTTTTGCAGAACAGAATACAGGCGTTCGCCAACCAGAAGGTGGGAGAGATCTATCTGGCCTTGAATTCAGAACCTAGAGACACCTATGTCACTGGAATCTTTGAGACCCCGGGTAGATGCCCCTGACGACGTCCCCTCTCAGCAGGAAGTAGCTATGGAAGACAGACCTTCGCCCCCTGACCTTGCCTGGACTCTCAATTTTTTTTAATACTACCAAAAGCCTGGAATGATAGATCCTCCCTTCCCCCAACTGGCGGGCTGGGTATGACGTAACCTGCAGCCCAGAAATACCTGAGTGACTAACCAGGTACCTTATATGGACTATACATTAGACCACCAATCCACACTTGCCAAATACCCTAAGCCCTTGTCCTATATGGACAATACAGTAAGCCACCAATCAGTGTGCGCCGAGTACACTAAGTCCCCCCACCCCCCTCCCATTCCGCCCCTCAAAAGGCGTGCCCACCCCTGCACGTGTTGCTGTCCTCCCCTTGCGAGACAGCCCGGCAGGTGCTTCTCCTCTAATAAAGCCTGTAGTCCTGGTTTTAGGTCTCCGTCTGATCTTTCAAAAACAATAACTTTTTTTAAGGTGGGATAATGGTAATTGTGGTCAGGTTTTTATTTTTAAAGACTATGTCTTTCTTTCTTTCTTCTTTCTTTTATAAGTACATGCTTAAATATCTATGGATGAAATGATATGATGTTTGATATTTGCTTCCCTGGGGGGAGAAGTTAGAGCTATAGACAATCAAGATATTAAAAATACCATTAATTGTTAAAGGTCATTAAGGTCATTTTGTTCTTGTATACAATTGAAATTTTCCAAAGTTCTTTTTTAAAAAAATTATTTTTCGAGAGAGCAATATTATAAGATCAAATAAAAGTCCATAGCAAGACACCCCAGAACTGTTATGCATTCCGGTTAGGAGGGCCTGGGCTTTCTCTTTTCTCTCCCACACTTGAATCAAGTCTGTCCAGTAAGAAACTGTGTGTAGAACCCAGGTGTGCCAGGAGCTACAGTTAATAGGCTACTGGGACATCCCACCAGCTGATCCTTCCCCTCCCTGCTTCTCTCTTTTCACCCCAGAGTCTACGCACACAACCAAGATGGTGGTGCCGGACAGTGAAACAAGTCATTCCCCGTCCGGGCGCATGCGCAGGAATCGGGCCGCGCAGGCGCATTCCTGCCTCCCTCCCCGAATTTGGCGGACCGCGCCTGCGCTGTGGGCGCGGCTCCCGGCTCCCGCTGGGCCTTGGCTGGCTGCAGGCTTAGTCTGAGTGCGGCTGAAGTGGCTGGCTCGAGGAAGATGAAGCTTTTGCTATTACTCCTGGTGGCGGCGTCCGCGCTGGTCCGGAGCGACGTTTCGGCCAACCTGGGCGGCGTGCCTAGCAAGAGATTAAAGATGCAGTACGCCACTGGCCCGCTGCTCAAGTTCCAGATTTGGTGAGTACGTGCGTCGCCCCGCAGCGCCTCTGCTCGGTGTCTCTCGCTACGCGAGTCCCCGGCTTCGCGGCCTAGCGGGCTGACCCTCCCCTGGGTGGGAAGAACAGCGCCAGCAGCCTTCCTCAGCCTGCCTTCTCCGGGGCCCTTCCCAGGACGCCAAGCCTCCCTCCTTCCCTCCAAGCACAACTGCTCACTTCCTTTTTGGTTCCTAGAATGGTGGGAATGCGGAAGGGAGGGCATGAGAAGGTTAGATACTGAAAGGCGAGGACGTGGGGACACTTGTCAGTACCGAGGACCGGTCGGCGGTGTCCCGCCATGGCGGCCCCTGCTGCCTGCGGAGCTGGGCATGAGTCGGCGTGGCCTTGGCGGAGGCGCTCCTAGCGCTCGCCACCCAGTTCTCTTCCTCCGCCTTTTCCCAGGGTTATGCCGGGCAGCCCATTGCCCCGCTCGGTGAAGGTTAATTCGGGTCGTTGGAGGAGACCCGCGAGCGATAGACGCCTTTACCTGCCGGAGTGTGTGGAGCGAGGGAGTAGGGCTCCCGGCAGCCGGAGGGCGTGGAGCGGGCGGGGAGGCTGATTCTCAGTTGGCAATTTCCAGTGTGAAACAGCAGTAGTTGCTCTTCTGACAACCGTTCTCTCCGGGACATCTGGATCTTCACCCTCATTTTCCCTACACCCGCCTCCCACGAGTTGCCTTTGTACCTTTCAGGTTTTCTCTTGTGCATTCAGAGAAATAGAAAAAAAAAACACCCAAAAAACAAAATCCCAGCAGTTTTCGACATTGTGCTTTAAGTGATTTTGTTGTTACCTAGTTATGTATTAGAAGCAGAGCAGTAATGCAGTATAATAAGGTAAATGGGGTCGGAGGTTTGAAAGACAGATTAAATAAACAAATAAAAATTGTAAAAACGCAGAAATTAGAATTCTGTATCGCAAAAAGGTGACTT